ACAAGTTTATTTTCAAATAATAGTGATGAGAAGACCAATCAATCAGCTTGACAAACAAGTGACATACAGAGCCAAAATTTCACTTGTAGTACCAAGTGATATGTCATGTAACACATATATACCCCTCGCTAAGTCAAAAAAAACGTAAATTATCAAGGGTCATGACTAACCAAGAGGTCTCTGATAAAAGAGGGGTTATGCATTGAAAGTGAATAAGAAGTACATATACACACATGAGTTTATTAGTCCCTGTTTCAGGTGCAGCCTGAAAGGCGGACTATTAATTCTATTTCAATTTTCCGTCTGTGACATTTCTAACATTTTCTCAGAAATTCTGCAGCAGGTATCGATGAAACTTGGCAGGTTGATGAACAAGTCTCTGCCGAATATGCACATAATTTTTTTTTCCAGATCTGAAAATCCTATGTGGGTATTTTTCAAGATTTTCCTCTGAAATTACCTCTCCCTACTGCACTGACAGAGCAACTGAGCAGGCTCAGAATAAATAATTAGCTTAGATTGTAATGCTAGTGTTTTTAGTGATGTCATGACCTGGTAGAACCTGGTAGATGAGTTGTACCATTACTAATCTCAGTGGAAACTAGAGGGGTGTCAGGGCTACATTTTGATGGGAATTATAGTAGTGATAATGAAACAAACCTAGGTCTTGGTAATATACAAAGACCTGAATTAACAAAGAAGTCAAGTTGTTATTAAAGGTACATCAAGTTTTACTCAGATTTATGAATGCAGTTTCTTGAGAATGTATGAGACAGTTGGTTGCACTTGTGTACTCTGAGATTTTGAACCTGGGTCAATGAAATTTTTCAGTTATCAGAAAATGTTAAAGGTAAATCACTTTATGATGAGTTGTACCCACATAGAGTACATATTAATTCAGTTATTTGCAGATGTTCCATGTCTGAGTATTTTATAATTAAATAACAGGGACTGTGTGATTCATGTCTTGTTTATAGTTTTCTTTATTGAACATCACAGCATCCATGTCTGCATGGATTCAACTCATTGCAGCAAGTTTTATAGAGCTCTATCAATAAGGGCCGGCTGAAAAGTATGTAAAGTCGTAACTTTATAGCCTGTCGACACCTCAAGTCAGGCTTCCATCACCCTCTGTATCTCAGTAATTGACAGCCAGTGGGTGTTAAGTTGTCTTCTCCAACCGTTTAATGGCCAATTAAATACATGATGCAACAAAACATTAGGTCTTTTTGTGAAAATGTTATTTCTTTTCTTTCTTCACAGGGGGTAAATCACATCTAAGGAAGACGTCCAATAAGCAGCTACCATCAGCAGAAACTCTCGCCAAGTTTCATTCCTCCAAGATATATCAGATGGAGAAAGAATTCTATGACTTTGCTGTCGAGCAGTTTGAACATATAAAAAGAAGGACTATATCATTTGTGGAAGGGAAACATGTTCCCATTCCTCAGCAATTTATGTACGAGAAAATCCGACCTAGATAGGAACAATGGATATTCTTTTCAAGATTATTGTCTACGCGATATGGTCTTCAGTATAAAGAGCTTACAGATTTCCAGAAATGCTGAAAACCATGTATTTGTAAATTAATTTTAGTGAGATATTAAGTGCTGATACTGCCAATCTTATTTCTCTTGGCAACAGTCTTCGTAATAGACAAAGTTTGAATATTTTTCAACATCTTAGGGGGCTTATCCTATTAACTCCTCTGCATATTGGACCTTCTAGGAGTGCAGTTTTCCACAATATATATATATATAGAAAATTACAACTTTTACTAACCCCCAGGAAATTCTTAATGAACTTCCATGATAGTGAGTGTTAATTCTAGTTAGATTTTGAAGTAATTTATTTATTCTTTAAGATCCCCCTAGATTCATGGCTTACTAGACGTCTGTCTCCCCTAGTTTGTTGAAAAAAAACAAAAACAAAAAATAATTTTTTGAGTCGAATACTGAAGCTTTTGTGTTGTCTTGATATCAAGTGCTGCTTTTTGAAACTGTTTATTCATTAGTATGTATATTTGTCAGGTATAAGCTCAGAAAAATATCTATGTTTGAAATTCAAACATTTATTGCTGTTGAAAGAGTGAAGAGTTTTATTTTTTTGCGGTTGTATAAATGTAAAACCTCAGGTTGTCTTTCTATATGTAATGTTTTTAGCAGTTGTTGTGTATATATACTGGTATATCAACCTATCTTCCATTAAACATTGTTCAATATTGAATCAATTAATCACCCTCCCCTATGGGTGAAGATCTAACTAATCGATTAACTTATTATGAATTATTTTTGTCCACCCCATTCTCTTATTTTGTGTAAGCAGGAATTAAAATTTGCATAAATGGGAGGGGGGGGGCAAAAAATGCCCAAAAACATTTTATTTTCATTTGCCTAACTTATTCAGACTCATTTTTCTGGTATGTGAGCAACAAAATTGAAATTATGTAAAATTGTTATTTTGCTTATGTTTCAATAAAATATTGGTTGAATTCAATAATACAAAAGGTAGATGTTTAACAACCCACTCTCTAAAAACAAACTTTGTTCCTTTTTTGAGAATTTATTGACCTGAATTGTTCAATGAAATGTATTTTTCACCGAGAACTACATTTTTTGTGTGTTAGTTGTGTGCATGATTTTACAAACTTGTTGTATAGGTACTCCCCCATAGGAACATTTCCTTGATCTTTGTGAACTACATAGATCTGGTTGGACATGCCTCTAAAACATGCAGCCAATCTGTTGACATGGCTCATTACAATGGAAATAAAACAAAATGGTGGGGTATCATAATGCCACCGAGGGCGCACTTTGAGAACATTGCTGAACAAGATCTGTAAATATAATGATGTAATGCCTAAATGAACAGACCTTAACTGTCAAAAACATGCTGGTTTTTTTTACAATGTATGAAAATATTATTTCTGCTAGATTATAATCTCACCAATGTGTCACTTCAGCAAAATTTGTTTACAACTGGAAAAAAAGTAGTGTAGGCAATTACATTATTTTTATGTCAAAATATACATGTCCAAGTTTAGATTAGAAAGTCTGTTTACTATGTGTTGCATTGACTTGCAGTGTGTGTGAATGACAAGGAAGGTTTATCAGAATATCACTCAGTCTATTTGGATTGATTTTAAAGTATATATAAATAAACTTTAATAATCATCATGACTTGACCTGCACTTGGACTCTGGTACGCTTTACTAAAATAGTGAATATAATATTCACAAACATTTTCCCAAGGAGTGGTTTGGTTGATGTTGAAATGTCTCAAATTTCTACAGTCTATTCATATTTTCACTTTCTCCTCAAAACGTACCAGTTACAAATTTCAAGTCGTGGTGGTAAAAAAATACTGGGAAAATGGGTAGACAAACAAATGAAACTTGCATGTTTATACTCCAAGTTTAAACAAAAAATTATGATTATATGTTCTTTGTTCTGAATTATAAAGTCTGACATGTTTTCATGAGTGACTATAACTGTACTCAAAATGCATCTTTTGAGCACCAAAGTCAAGCTCAGATATCATCCACAAAATAGTTCTGTTCTTTTCCTCAAAAAATTGAAGTTTTTTTTATCAAAAGGTAGAAGTAATGTCACATTTTGTCGTTTGGTACAAAATTAAGATTGAATTCAGTGAAAATTCTGCCCTCAAAAAGTTAAATAATGAAATAGTAAATATTTGTCAAGACCAAATTGTCTAAAAAAAACCTGAAAAGCTGTTCAGTTTACAGAGGTGTTCATCATCACTAGGAGAGGCTGAGAAAAGTTGTGTTGAGTTTAGACAGGTTTTTGGTTAACAGAACAGTGATCAAACCCAATACCAAATAGAAGTGAGAATTTTGTTCAGTTTATGATAAAAAGAATTATGCCATATGTTGTGGCAAATGTGAAGTTCTCTGGTTGGTTTTAACTGTATTGAATCATTTCAGATAATTTTATACACAACAATTAAATCTTTGTTATAAGACAGAATTTTTGTTTGTGATTTTTCACATGTGTTTCTTGTTTCTAAGCTTGCCATCACATTTGAAAGTGGGTAGATAGAAATTACATATATTACATATATAGGTACTACATGTGGATCTCTCTCAGAATTGTTCATTTTGTAATGATATCTTTAATTCTCTAATTTTGGTGAATATTTTTGTCATTTTTGGTAAAAAGTGATATTTTCGACTTCTTGTTGAAAACCGCAAGTCCAATTGCTTTGATATATTATACATATAGGTACTACATGAGAACCTCTCTCAGATTTGTTCATTTTCTAATGATATCTTCTGTTCTTTAATTGCCATGTGCATTGCTAACAGCGGAGCTTTCTCAGCCGACAGGCTGCTTGTTAGACTTCTTCTTGAAAACTACAAGCCTGAATGCTTTGATACTTGGTGTATATGTACCTTGGGTAGACTTCTCTCAGATTTGTTCATTTCATGACGATATCTTCAATTCTCTAATTATGGTGAATTTTTTTGTCATATTTGGTAAAAAGTGATATTTTCGA